TGTTTGAGGAACACAAAGTGTCCAGTGTGTAGTAGATGGCTGGGGTAAAGTGAGCAAAGGGGAAAGTGGTTGGAGATGAAGAGAGAGAGCTAAGGGGGCATGGGGTAGATCATACATGACCTTTTAGGCCATGGTAAAGAACTTGACCTTACAATGTGCTATGGGAAGATTTGAAGGAGTTTGGAGTGGTGTTATTTATTTGACATGATCTTATTTGTATTTTGTTTACACATGTGCTCACACTGTATCTTATATTCATACACATTTATTTTCAATACCATCTATATGTTGATGGCTTTCATATCTGTGTATCTGACCATGGCCTTTCACTAAAACTCCAGACTTATATACCCACGTACATCCCTGAGATCTCCACAGATGTGATTAATAGGCCTCTCAAATTTAACATGACCCAAGAACTTGCTTGTTTTTCTTCATCTCAGTAGGTCATCCACCAGTTGCTCGAGCCAAAGATCTGGGGGTCCTCATTGAGTTTTTTCTTTCCCACACCATTCACATCCAGTTTATACCTCTGTTGATTTTACCTCTCAAATGTCCCAAATATGCACACTACATTTCTACAATGGCCACCCAGTCAAGTACAAAAACATTTTTAAGGTTTCCTAATTTTTTTAAATTGTTTAAAAATGCACATGACATAAAAGTAACCATCTTAACTAGTTTTAAGTGTACAGTTCGGTGTCTTTTTTTTTTTTAAGATTTTTTATTTATTTATTTGACAGAGAGACAGCAAGAGAGGGAACACAAGCAGGGGGGAGTGGAGAGGGAGAAGCAGCCTCCCCACTGAGCAGGGAGCCCTATGCGGGACTCGATCCCAGGACCCTGGGATCATGACCTGAGCTGAAGGCAGACGCTTAACAACTGAGCCACCCAGGTGCCCCAGTTCGGTGTCTTTAAGTACATTCACACTGTTGTGTGACCATCATCAAAACCACTCTCTTCCAAAACTCTTTTTCTCTTGCAAAACTGAAACTCTGTACCCATTAAACAATAACTCCCTACTCCACCCTCCTTTCAACCCCTAGCAATCACCATTCTGTTTTCTGTCTCTATAAATTTGACTACTCTGGGTATCTCATAGAAGTGGAATCATACAATTTTAGTCCTTTTGTGTCCGGCTCATTTTACTTACCATAATGTTCTAAAGGCTTACTCACATTATAGCATGTATCAGAATTTCCTTCTTTTAAAAGCTGAAAAAATATCCCATTGTATGTATATACCCCAATTTGTTTATCCATTCATCCGCTGATGGACACCTGAGTCTCACCTACTTTTTGGCTATTGTGAATAACTGTGCTGTGAATACAGGTGTACGAATACCTTTTTGAGTCCCTGCTTTCAATTCTTTGGGAAATATTCCCAGAAGTGGTATTGTTGGATCTAGTGGTAATTCTATTTTTTTAACTGCCATTCTGTTTTTCATAGCATTTGTACCATTTTACATTCCCACTCGGTAACTTTCTTTTTATCTTCTTCATTTTCCTTCTTAGTCCAGGCACAGTGACCTTCTTTGATTTCTCCAAATACCAAGCTCATTCTTGCTATAGGGCCTTTGAGTTACTCCCTCTTCCTGTAAAACTCTCCACCCTGCTGTTTGCTTGACTGGCTCTTTCTGATCATTCACCTTAGACTCTACCAGTAATACCTTCCTTGAGTCAGTTACTATTCCATCAGCATAGCACTTATAAGATCTCCCAATTCCTTGTGTGTTTATTCTTATTTTATCGGTCTTACCTCCCAAAAAACGATATCCCCAGTACCTAGAACTATGACTGGCACATAAGAGATGCACAATAATTATTGAAATGTCATGGGGATTAATATGATAAATTTCCTACTGTGCTATCTGTGAACACTACTCATTAGTGAAAATTGCAATCATCACTCAAAAAATAATAACTATTCTTTAGGAACAAATTAAACCAAGATAGAATCCATAATTCCATAGTGTAATCAAGAATGGCAGTTGACCTAGTTACTGTGATAATTCAGATTTCAGTAGAAATTTGGGGCTCATTAATTTGGATATTTCAGGCAAAATGTGTTCTTTGCTTTCAAATTATTTCAATAATTACCTTAGTACTTCTCTATGCTTTATGTACTCAATTATTGTCCTAGAGGTACTTGTCAAATCTTTCATGTACTTCTGAGTAGTGAATTTTAGTTTCAGCCTTCAAACACATCACATACTTTCATGGCAAATTTTCTAAATTGATGTTTTATAGTTCATTCCAGTAGTAACCATTTTCCTAATCCATAAGGTCATCTGTGTTAGAGAAAACTAACTCAGGTCACATAAAAGGAAAATGTCATTTCTGTCTTTACATTAAGAAGTGAGTAGGTGGGTACAAACTGGTTATTCCAGATTATAAACAATCTCCTAACACAGTTATCTTTATGATGAGGCCATATATTGTGAATGGCTTAGGTCTACTACTGCCTTGATGGACACCCTTTCTTATGGCCCTGTGATCCTAAAGGGGTGGCAAAAGCCCATTAAATATTTAGTTGGGGAGGCAGCATATTTCTTATGTATTGACATGCTTATTTTTATCATGTTAAAATAGTTTTGAGGTTTGGATCTAGGATTGAAACTACTTTTATGCAGTGAAAAAAAAAAGATGAGTATTGTGTACCAAGAATCCCTCTTCTTCAAGAGCGTTTGTGCATTTATTACCCTAGTCCTTTTATAAAACTCCAAGGGATATAATTCTGTGGGTACTGACCTAACTAACTTGTTGGGGAGCTACTCTATGGTTTGCAGAAAGGTGGAGAAGTTATTGTACTGAAAACATTTTAAATATTTTTTCCTTTTATTCTAAAAGATATTGAAAATTGTCATTAAAATCATTAGATTTTCATAATGTTTTTAAAAAGTCATAGCATTTAGTTCATTTTCTAAATAAAAGATTAGGCAGATTTTCTTGTTGTTTTCGATGATTATTACAAAAGCTTCAAAAGTGTTCAACAGAATTCACTGTAGAGCCCATTACATTTCAAGGACACTGGAGAGCCTCTGTGGCAGTAGATTTGAAAAGTATTAATCCATTCCTTTTATCTCTTTTATTACTTCTCCTTAGGGTTTATAGTGGAAAATCCTTCACAAACATTGTGTTTCTGTTGTTAAGGTTTATATCCACATTTTGAGATAATTTTTTATGACACCTTTGCATATTATGTCACAGGCTTATTTAGGGCAGACAAATAAAAGCTTGTCCCTTTTTGTTCACAAATGGGCATCTTCAGAAAAAAAAAAGCTCCTTTAGAAAATGCTGCTGATGTAGCATCTTTAGAATGTAGCATCTTTTGAAAAGCTGTTAGTTTGGGACCTACTTTAAAAACTCTAATAAAAGACATGCTTCCATATATCACTTAAGTTAGAAGCATACGTGTTGAAGTTGGCTAAGGTTGGTAATAGAGATTATATCACCTTTTGCTATTACATGAAGGAAAAAATATATTTTAATATTACCTTTAATCATCAAAGTCTTTTGCATAATCTGACATATGTTACCTTTAGAGATTATCAGTTAAGAAAGAAATAATGAACACAAGTAGTTTGAATAAGGTTCACATCACTAATATTTTTGAGTACCCATTAATTGCCAGGTACTGTGCTGAGCATTTAAAGGACTACTAGTTTAGATGGGCACATTCTTTCTTAAATTTCTTCCCAGAATACTTCTGTGATTTTTAAAAAATAGGGTACATGTGCCTGTATTAATCCTATCAAAATATGTATCATAGTATATTATAACTGCCTTTTTACTTGTCTTTCCCATTAAACTATAAACTCCAAAGACACATGTTTTCTGTCTGCCATAATCACTCTGTCCTGTATCCTGATCATCATGGGTACCTTGCCCCACTCCCCAAACAGAGTAGGTGCTCTATAAATATCTATTAAGTGAATGATGATAATCATCCAGAAAATGCATCATTTCTTTAGGGATGAGATCAGAGGGAAGAAGGATGATATAAAAGCCAGAATTCCAATTTATTAATTTTCAACACACAGTCTCCTTCAAAGAAAATTCATGTCCGAGTTACATGTATATTTACTCCCTAACAGCTAACATCAGTGGTGCTACTCATAATTAGAGCACTTTATGCATTATCTCATTAAATCTTCTCAGCATCCTATGAGACCATTGCTATCTTTAGCCTCATTCTACACGTGAGGAAATGGAGACAGGACGAATAAGGTCTTAAGGTTTCTCTGAGATGTGAGTATACAGTACAAATTGGAACTCTTACTTCCAGAGCTCAGGCTTCGAGGCAATCAATATTTGGAATGTCAATTTAATTAGAAGGTAATCTCGGAGAAGATAAATAACTTCATGAGGGTGCACAGCTAGTAAATGACAGAGCCTGGTTTGAAACCAAATTTGCACACTCCAAAGTCTGTGTGGCTGCAATCCCAGCCGCTGTCTCCTTTTCTTTACAATGAATGCGCTTTTCAGAGATGCACTTAATTATGGGTCAAGTGCCATCCTAATCATGCTGAGCAAATCATGGCCCTAAACTGTTTCTCCTGACAATTTCTTAAGAAAAGACTGCTTTATTTTTGTTTTTTAGTTAAATCAGAGTAAATAATCCTTGGGCAAGACCACTTTGACATTTCATTTCCCTTTCTATTATTCTTACATCCTCTTTGATTTCACTCAGTACTGATGATACCTAAGAAGAGTTATATGGGGGGACAGCCCAAAGAAAAAAATGATTAGAATAAAGATGCATGATGCTACATGTCTATAGAAGGAACTCAGTGCCCTCTGTGCTTGAGAAACAGTGTGAAAGTCAAATCAAACATGGAAAATGTATTACGTGCTGACACAAGGAGGAACTTGGGCAGTAAGTGATACAACATTTGAGGATCTATGGAATATGATATTAAGTCTTGCTTAAATAGGAAGTTTTACCATGCTGTATGTTCTAGTATGAGACAGACTAATAATGCCTCCTTTGAATTCTAGAGTCTCAAGTCCCTGACCAACCAAGCTCTCTTCATGTGAGGCCCCAGACCAACTGCATCATCATGAGTTGGACTCCTCCCTTGAACCCAAACATCGTGGTGCGAGGTTACATTATTGGTTATGGTGTTGGGAGCCCTTATGCTGAGACAGTACGTGTGGATAGTAAACAACGATATTATTCCATTGAGAGATTAGGTGAGTAGCTATGGTTTTTATTCTATTAAGGGAAATAAATGATTTATTTGAAATTATTTTCTTTTTTAGAAACTTGTTCTTTGGACTTTTATTTTAATTTGTGACACATATTATTTCATAAGACAAGTCTCTCTTTTTCTATCTTCTATCAATCTACACACACACACACACACACACACACCTGTCTTTCGTCTCTGGATTTTGAATTGGGGCATTTTATCTAGAGACATTCACAACAATGGTAGGTGCTCTGCTGTGTACTTTTGCTTATGAGTCATAGAATACAAAAAGGGAATTGTATTATTTTTTTTCACTGGTCAATGGAAACTTCTAATCTTAATTCTTATAAAAAGAAAGTCAACACTTTTTTTTTCACTTTTTTTCTCACTAGGAAGATATTCTGTCAATTTTTCTTTTTTTTTTTTTTAAAGATTTTATTTATTTATTTGAGAGAGAGAGAATGAGAGAGAGAGAACACATGAGAGGGGATAGGGTCAGAGGACAAAGCAGACTCCCTGCCGAGCAGGGAGCCCGATGCGGGACTCGATCCCGGGACTCCAGGATCATGACCTGAGCCGAAGGCAGTCGCTTAACCAACTGAGCCACCCAGGCGCCCTGTCAATTTTTCTTTAACACTAAATTATCTAGTCACCTTGCTTTCTTTTCCCTTGGCATTTATAGGTAAAGCTTTGTGGCTATGCCATTATGAGAATTTTCAATCAAGCCTATAAACTTAGTTATCAGACTGCTCTCTTCATACGTTCCAAGGTCTCTTATCATACTCCACCTCATTTTAATAAATACAATACTTGAATTATGACATTTCTGAATTCACTGAAAACTTGTTTATTCAGAGAGGGCTATCATGCAGTAAAAGTGGGCATATCCATTTTATATCTGATTTTCCATAGTATCATAAGAGATTATATCATTAACAGAGAGAAATCAAAGAAATATATGTCATATATAGGGTGTCAGGAAGTTAAGCTATTCTCATAAAGCACAAAGCAGGTCGATTCTACCTGTTGATTTAACACCATATTATTTGCAATGAAGTACACTGACCTCACTGGGAATACAACGTGATGGTGGGAGTTTGTGTGTGTGGGGGGGTGCTACTTATTTGTAATGGCTTCCACAAACAGAATATTTTGATGAGAAACTTGATTTGAATTTGAATACCTTATCTTGCAGTAGCAAGAAAAGATTTTCCCAGTGCAGGAGGAAAATTGCACTGACCCATTCTCTCTATAGTTGCCTCAAACACTAATAAGAGAAGTGCCTACTGAAAATCTCCATAATGCTAGTTAGCTTGGCATTTAGAAATAATAATTCTCTCCATCAGTCCCCAAGTTTGAATGTTAAGGCAATCCCATAATATGTTTTATGGCCATCAAACTTATGCCAGGGTACTGTCATTTATCCATTATTCAGTGGGCATCATGTCTGACCATTGATCTTGATGCCACCCAGCAGAGGGAGATCCCCATGGCCATGCCCATGCTCCCCTGTAATGAGAATGGGTGCAAGCGCATAATGAAGTCATGAAGGAAAACCGCAATGCTTCACCAGGGCCTTTTAGTAACAGTGTTCTTTACTACAAGCAGACTTTCCAGGAATCTCCAAGGCTTGCAAAGTTGAGGCTTTTGGAAGATTAACACTGGCTAATCTCTCCAAAAGCTTAACAAGAAAACAAGAGATTTCCCTTTGTAAGATATATTTTAAAGAGCTAAGAAAACTGTACAAATAAAATGGATATGAACCTATCTTCAGGATAGATCATCATGTGTTTATTACACTTTAAAATTTATCTGGAAAGAGATTTACACACATACATTTGCATATGCACAAGCACACACACATATGTATATGTACACATGTATTTAAGTTCTACCAGCTGATACTCTTGTAACATAGTCCCATGTCTTAACATAAAATATGAAATAAAATAGTGTTTTATTGTTATTGTTCAAGTATCTCCATAGTTACACAAAGAAACTGGTATTTTTTCAAAATGTGTTTTGCTGTTTACCCAAAGTGTATGTTAAACATATCTTAATATATATTAAATAGTAACAGTTTTATATATACATATAAAAATATATAAAATGTGTAGACAAGGGGCACCTGGGTGGCTCAGTCGTTAAGTATCTGCCTTCGGCTCAGGTCATGATCCCAGGGTCCTGGGATCGAGCCCCGCATCAGGCTCCCTGCTCCACGGGAAGCCTGCTTTTCCCTCTCTCACTCCCCCTACTTGTGTTCCCTCTCTCGCTGTCTCTCTCTCTGTGTCAAATAAATAAATAAAATCTTTAAAAAAAATGTGTAGACAATTTTGTATGTCTAAAGCTTTAAAAATTATATTTTAAATACCTTTCAAAAAGATATTACGAAATTGGTATGCTTACTTTAAAGTTTAATAGAATAAATGTAACAATTGGTGGTTTCTTTGCAAAGTTTGAATGTGGGCTTGAGTGAATCCTTTATCTTTTTAAAAGTTAGAACTTAAGATATGTCTAACATAAACTTTACCTAAATCGGGGAATATATATTTTAAGGACTGTATAACAGTTATACAATTAAAAATGAATTAAGGAAAATTATAATCTGTTAAAGCATAGCATCAGCTACAACTTCAAGTGCCATGGTTGTATTTTAGACTATAAAAAAGCTATCTGTTTTATAATTGACCAATAAACTTCTCTTTGATGACAGACCAGAACTTTCCAATAGCATTTTGTTTATCAGGCATAATAATTGAGCATTTAGATACCAGGCCCTATGACCTGCCTTGGGACTACAAAACAAAGCTTGCCTAGTGCAGACATAGAGATTCATTAACCAATGTTTGTACTATTAGATAGTTGTAATTAATCTTTTGACATCATGCACCTCTTAGTTTAAGAGCCCTAAATACCAGCTTTGATGTATACACATAGCAAAGATCAACAAGACCTGAATTCTGGCAATGTTGGCAAAATTAATTTGAAACCAAGTTCTTCTTTTAAAAACTCACATGTATCTACCAATCTGTTGATCAATCTATCAATCAATCAGTTTATCTCTTTCTACATCTTTATGGAGGTATCTGTATGTATATAAACTATACATATTTAAAGTGTACAATTTGCTGAGTTTTTAAAAGAGCTTTATTGTGGTATAATTGACACACAATAATCTCTGTTTTTCAAATTTCTTCTTTAGTTTATCTCAGTAATGTTTTATAATATTCAGTATAGGAAGTCTTGACTGTTTTTGTTAGATTTAGTCCACATATATACGTGTGTGTGTGTTTATTAAATATAGTCCCTTTTTGTATGGGTGTGTGTATATATGAACTACTTTAAATGGGACTGTTCAAGTTTATTTCCCAGCTGTTGCTGCTAGTGTAGAAGAATACAGTTGTTTTTATTTTTTTTTTATTTTTTTTTTTAAAGATTTTATTTATTTATTTGA